AGATGGTGCAGTTTCTTTGTATAATCAACATTTCCTTCTCCTTTGGAAGTGAGTGATTTTAAGATTATTCTTAAGATAAGACAAACTTTTAAAAGATTTTATAAGAAAATATTGATAACAGAGTAAAGTTCTAAATATAGATATTTTCTAGGCCATTAAAACATCAGTTAACTCTTTTATCATATTGTCCGGCATGTTTAGTAGAAAATGTCATCATGTATGTTATACTGATTTAATCTATGATCTGCATAAATTATTTATCATGCCCCATATAGAATTTTAACAAGGACTTAAAATGAAGACATGATTGGGGTCATGTAGACTAACACTCTGACCATCTATAAAACTTTAATATTGAAGTCCCCTTTAAGACCAAAATTTTTAAAGGATTCATTATTTTTAAAGTTTATGAAGTCACAGTGAAACTGACTGAGACTTTATCTACTAGTATTACATACAACTATTGGGTTTTATTTTAAGGGTTTACACATAGGTCTCGTTACTTTTAAAATATTTTTTATATGCCATGGTGTGAATTGATTTTGTTCGCAAAACATACCCGTATTTTTCCCTAATGTTTTCAATTTGATTGAAAGAAATCAAAAAGATGAAATTTGAAATTTGATTTAATAACATATCTTTGAATAAAGGCTTTTGGGAATTCTTCAGGATTGGAGAAATCTACCACCAGAAAATAATTTTTAAAAATTACAGAAATTTTGAAGCTTGGAAAAATTTGCTTGAATCTATCTAAGCTTCATGACTTAGGTACTGGTGACTTTATAACTATAAACATCATATATATATATAGTATGTTCAGGTGTATAGGTATGTGTTAGCATTAGGTCTCATTTAATTTACTTACATTAATATACAATGACCTAAGTTTGTATATATGTACAGGTACAAGTTCGTACCAGGTATTACAGCCAATCGTATTTAACAGATCAGAATTTTTATGTCTATAAATTCTTGAAACTTCAACAAACCAGAACTTGAAATCTGTCCTGCATGTGGTGTAGATGTTCTATATATTACCCGATAAGATTGTATTAATTTCTCAGCCTCGGAGTAAAACGTGCAAAGATTCTGTGTTGATGTAACTGATATTAAGGTACATGGGAAATTATTGGTAGGGAAAGTGCTGATTTGAATCTGTAAACTGAATTTTGAATATATTTTTGTTGGTGGTACAAGAAGATAGGGTAATAAAATGTTTTAAGCATGTACCTCAATGGACAGAAGAAACTGGAAAATAGACTGAAGTAGTATTTGATGGGTAAATCCATGAATGTGAAAATCTTTGTACCTTTTATAAAATATATATATGGACATTCTATGCTGTTTACATAGTCAGCTAAATCTTGTAAATAATTAAAGAAAAAAATATATTGTCTTTCTTAACTCTTAATCTCACCTGAAAATTCGACCAAGATGATTCACAGGAATAATTAATTATATAAAAGACATCAAGACAGTTGTACTATGTAATGATATTTTGTGGAGTCAGATCAGTGTAATGCACACAAGGCTTTCTCAGGGATAAGAACATAGTCGATGATGGTGTGTTGGCTAATCTCCAATTCATTTGTAAATAAGGAAAGTCCTCAGTGGAGATCACCTTGTAGAATAATCAGGATTCTACATGTGATTCTATTATATAATACATAGGTTTGAGCTTCAGGTTGTTGAGTTCTCACCACTGATCTGTATAGACCGTGTGAACTACTGCACCCTCCAGGTGAGAAATCTGTACATTGAGCCATTATGCATTGCAATGCTGTATGGCAGTACATCTCAGAACTTTACAGTTTACCAGTGTGACATGAGTTTATCGAGTGAAGAAATAAAATGCATGTTATAGAATGTCTTAGACAAGTTAAATTAAACATGCCAGAAAAATTCCAATTAATACTTATTTGAAGAAAGAGTTTTAAAATGAAATTACAATTTCTAAATGGGAAAGACACTATACTACATCTATATATAGATCTAATAATATAGGACGCTTTTTACGATTTTGTGATCAGACATATTTTTTGCTCATTTTAGGAAGAAAATTGGGGAATTGAGAAGGAAAAATAGCAAAATGGATCTGTCATTGATCTGATTGAGTCTTTGTGGATGAACAAGAAAAAGCACCATTTTAAAAGGTTACCTGATACTATAATATGCTTCTACTATGTACATATAGGGCAACAGTAATAGGGAGTGGTTTTTAAACCAGAGTGGAAAGGTGTTGAAATCCATGTTGATGATTTTATCAGTCAGTAGTTGTGAAACGTAAATGAAACGCTCCCATTTTGAGGTGGTTTTTATCTAATAAAGTGTTAATAGGGAAGTAAGACCTCTGCTAACTCCTGAAGGTGCAAGCATGATTTATCAAAATTTTTGAATTGTTCTCATTTCCTGGCAATAAAAAAGATACAGTTGTTATATTTACAGATACACCTCAAGATCTATCCACCTCAAATGAGATAACCCATACTAATTGCCCGTAGAGGAAGTGGCAGATGAGAAAGCAATAAAATGTGAAAGTTCTCTAATTTGTTTCTGACATAAAAGCCTACATCCTTGAAGAACTATGGGAAATGATGTATGAAAATTGTATGCTACATGTCATGACCTCTCCCAGAACATAACCCTTCTACTACTATCCAAGAAGATTGTTTAATACTTCATTATCTACACATGCTGCACAGATCAAAAGGAAATGTGTATTACTGTCTATTATAATATCAACAGAATTAGTACTGTAGGAAACTTTTTGAAAAGGAATATTGAATTCAAATACAGGCTACAGTACTTGCCTACCTAGGACAATAAGTTGTTATACAGTTACTGTTACATTTGCCTCCCTCTGACAAGAAGTTGTTATACAGTAACTGTTACATTTGCCTCCCAATGACACTAAGTTGTTATAAAGTTACTGTTACATTTGCCTCCCTCTGACAATAAGTTGTTATACAGTTACTGTTACATTTGCCTCCCTCTGACAATAAGTTGTTATATAGTAACTGTTACATTTGCCTCCCTCTGACACTAAGTTGTTATACAGTTACTGTTACATTTGCCTCCCTCTGATACCAAGTTGTTATATAGTAACTGTTACATTTGCCTCCCTCTGATACCAAGTTGTTATACAGTTACAATTACATTTGCCTCCCTCTCATACTAAGATGTTATACAGTTACTGTTACATTTGCCTCCCTCTGATACTAAGTTGTTATAAAGTAACTGTAAATGTAGGAGAACTTGAAGCAAGCTACTGTTGTAGTTATTTGTGCATGTAGTGAGGGAAATTGCTAGTACTGGACAGGTCAACAAGTACTGAGACTACTGATACCTACAGGGCCATACTGTTAGTAAACAGCTGGACAATACAATTTAATTTGTAACAGGTGGTTATAAACGGTACAATAACTAATTAGAATACGTATCATTCTAGAATATTGAATATCCTTTGGCAATATTTGTTATGAAACCTATTTGGTACAATGTAAGTGATTGATTTGGTCATGTCCACCTGTCATGATGACAATGATAACAACCCGTCTTGATGACAATGATAACAACCCATTAATCTAAATAAATCGGAACTGTAGGCTGTATCACAAGTGTAGTTACTGTAGATTTGGATTTCCTCCGACAACAGTTGTTATACAGTTACATTTGCCTCCCACTGACACAATTTTGTTATACAGTTACTATTACATTTGCCTCCCTCTGATACTTGTTATTCATCTACTATTACATTTGCCTCCCTCAGATACTTTTTATTCATCTACTGTTACATTTGCCTCCCAAAAGTTTATGAATATATTTCATTTACGTGTCTGGTTTAGCTATGATGTGCATGGGGAAAATGTGTCTTCTGGAGAGGACTGCTGTATAGTGATGTCATTTTCAGCAAGATAAATCTCCTACTCATCTTTTACTTTAAGAAATGTAGAGCTCATGTTGATTCATAATGTTGGTAAGTATTTGTAAAGATTTGCAACTTTGAGATTAAATTGTACAATTATGTTGAGACAATGTGACAGGAATCATATTTTCCAGTCCACCAGATTAATTTTATTGACTCAGTCTGTGACATAATTATGGCTGTATCGGGTTTTATACACTAAGCTATATGTAATATGTATTGATCTTGTTGAGCTTGTTCCAATTAGTGTTCAATTTAATTAGACAGCATAACTCTGAACAATTTTGCAGATCATAGACGATAGCGTTTCATTTGAGGTTTAACAGATTATTGATTATTAAAGACTGATCAACTGAAGCTGCTACCAGCGTAGGCTGCATCTTTCAACTGAAGAATAAAGCATTCTTACAGTATGTCACTGTATTTTCTGTTACTGAGGACATCACCATGTAATTAAGCTTTTGTTAATGAATATTAATTCTATTACTAAGCTACTGTTACTGAGGGTATGTCATGTTACTAAGCTACTGTTACTGAGGGTATGTCATGTTACTAAGCTACTGTTACTGAGGGTATGTCATGTTACTAAGCTACTGTTACTGAGGGTATGTCATGTTACTAAGCTACTGTTACTGAGGGTATGTCATGTTACTAAGCTACTGTTACTGAGGGTATGTCATGTTACTAAGCTACTGTTACTGAGGGTATGTCATGTTACTAAGCTACTGTTACTGAGGGTATGTCATGTTACTAAGCTACTGTTACTGAGGTTGTAAACTGTTACTTAGTATTGACTATTGGACTGAGTCGTTACAGTATATATGTAAGGTTGGTGATGAGATCAGGGCAGTGTGTTCCCAAGTATTAACTATTGGACTGAGTCGTTACAGTATATATGTAAGGTTGGTGATGAATCAGGGCAGTGTGTTCCTAAGTATTGACTATTGAAATCTATCGCTGAGTAACCAGATCTTCTGTGAGCAAAGATGGCCAATTAATAGGTGAGCATTTGGTGCATATCTAGTCTGCTGAGGAGAAAATTATTCTGTCAAGGGGATATATGTGGAACACTCACCTTACAGTCATTATCTGTGAGTGAAGTCAATCCCAGGGTTTTCCAACGTTGTTACACATAAAGAAGGTTATTATTGGTTTATCTCTTTGACCTTCCTGTACAGTTGTGATTATAAAGAGGATCAGGGGCCATACACTCATCTCTGAAATATGAAATTCACATGGAAAAATTTAAAACAGACAAGAATGAATAATATTTAAGTGACTTGCTCAGCAATTATCATTGTTGAAGAATTTGATGTAGACTATAATGTTTGGAGTGTGTTCTCAAGTCCAAAACCTGACCCAGACTCTGTAAACTTTATCCCTAACCAAGAGTCCATAAAATGGATCGCAAACCCAGACTCGGTATAATGAAAAATTTTAAGACTTGTTTCATAATTCTCATAAATCTTATGTATGATCCTCTACAAACAAACTCTCATTAAGAATAAACGATGAGGTGGGATTGGGTTTTGGAGGGAAGGAGGTGGAGGCTTAGGGTGTTGGAGAGGTTTATGTTAGTCTGACATCAGTCGAGTAAATCTAGCGACATAGAGGATGAAACATACTAAATCCATCAGAGTTTTCATCTCTTTTTCACATATTGATGTGGGGTCAAGTTGATCTATGGATGGCTAAAGTTTACCGAAAATGTCACAGTATCAAGATTGGTGTTTGTTTAGTGAGATTTATGTCAGTACTTAATGCTAGCTTGAATTGGGACAAGAAGTTACCCCTAGAGGTCAAGCATATAGCTGAAGATAATGTTACTTAATACTTGTTTTCACATTGTCAATTCACTAGTGTACCTGAAACCCCCCAAAAATTGAATTGGAATCTGTTATAATTATGGTTACAATAATTACGTTTTATGATAGCTGCCTTAATTCTGTATCTGAAACATGGTGTTTTAACTTTGAATCATTGTGTAAAAAAATGAAAATCAGAAATCTTTGTCAAATCTTGACTTAAGTTCATCTGAGACAGATACAAGTACTTTGTTAATTTAAAAAATGAAGTATTTGTTTTTTTGTCATGCCACAACTACAACAAAAGTGATTTAAATTACTTACATTTAAAAATGTCAGAACATTTTCCTCAGAAAAGGGTCAAATAATGGGACATATTTCCTATATATATTTTAAGCATGTTGAATTTTCCAATTTCAGTGCGATTATTAAAAAAAATTACTGTGTACCAGGACTGATAGGTAGATTCACTACAACAACACGGTGGACGGTACACTCAGGGTGACTGTTGAGCCTCATCTTGTAAAACAGATTGTGCTTCTAGGGAAAAGGCTAAAGGTTATTAAAGCTAGTGTTAAACTCCTTTCATATCCAAGAAAGTCAGTTTCTTGGCAATGTGATATGACTGCACAGGTTTGTACTATAACATAGGGATATCTGAAGGGTAACAGTCCTGAGATAGTTATGTAAATCCAAGAGTACAGTCTATTATGCAATAAGATATATAGATATGTTATTAATTACTTAACATCTGTGTTAGCATAGTAACAGTACTTTTTCATAACGACTCTGACTGCCTCACTATAATGAACTTTCAGTACTTGATCATAAGGACAAGCTCTACGTAAATTCCAGTTGACTGACATGTGAATAGATTGGCCTGGATTTACCATATAACAGACTATCTTTATGAAAGTCTTAGTTTTGAAGGCTCAGAAGTCAGGGCCCTATAGGCTGTGTACCTGAATTTGATATAGACACGCCCTGCTCTTACAGTATAATACTCAACTCATTCATAACTTCAAGAACTAAAAATTCAAGACATTAAAAAAGAATGATGATAATTGAAAATGATTATAGAACTTCGGTTTTTCAGATTTCATGAAGCAATAAAATTCTTTTCATCGTCTAAAAAATGACAAAAAACATCAGAAGAAGATGAGTTGATGAGGGCTACATCCTGACACCTTGGGGCCATGTGTGTGACATTAGAGGTAGAGGGTTGGGGTTTAGGGGGCCATGTGTGTGACAAGGTAAACAGTGGGTGGGGGGAGGGGACCAGTGGAGGAAGCTGTGAGTCAGACTTCACATGTTGATAAGAGTAAACCACTTTTATCAGTTTCCACTAATGTGTAGGCATGGATGGTATACTCACGTTTTTGTTTAAAATCTCAGAAATGTGTGGATTTACATTAAGATGACAGGTAGAAATACTTCAGTTCTGTCTTTAGTCGTGGGTCTCATAAGTACAGAAAAAATTATACAACACTAGGTACTGCACATTGGTAAAGTATAACATGGCACAGAGCACAGAATATATCTGAGTACGGAGACAGTAAAGGATACTGACCATTTCAAGTGTGGCCACAACATAAATGATCCCAGTGGGAGCAATATATAGCCATATTTATTGAAGGAGGTGCATTTTCTATATTTAGTTTAGTAGATTAGGAGGTTTTTAAGTGTGAATGGACTTTTAACAACTTATGGTAATGTTAACAAGTCTCTAAGGACTGCAGGTAAAATTTTTGTATCGTGTATGATAACATTTTTTGTTTCACTTTACAGGTTGACTGAGCAATAACGGTTACCATGGTTACAAGTACTGAAGACAGATCTGAAGAAAGTGAACCAGAAACTGTTTTCTACAAAGAATATTTTAGTTGAGGAGAATCAGTAATTCACCCCAGGATATATCTCAAAGTATTTGTGAAATCAAAAAGAGATCATATTTAAGAAAAAAAAGTGCTGACCTGTCACCATGGATGCACAACATGGCACAATGCCAATCAAGGATTTGGGGTCTTTTGTGGCCTCAAATATACCAAGTGATGCCGACATCAAGGGTAGGTAACTCTGTTTTTTTTAAGATGGCTGTATCACATCACAGGATATTGGTGATGTTTGAATTAATTGTTGAAATTTTGGATTAAGTTGTACAGGTGTATTTTTGTGGGGTTGAAAATGCTGGAAATATGGTTCTATACTGATCAATGATGTGAATAGCCCAAAACTTCGAGAAACAGTTGAAAAAAGTTTCATCTCAGATATTGACTTTCATTTACCATGTTCTATATAATTATATGTACAATACAGTTGAAAAAAAACAAAATATCTGCTTGTGCAGGTAATGTTTGTCATCAGAGATGTTGTATTGTATACTCGTCTGTCCAGTTAACCTTGATTTAATCATCTTAAGTACACAAACATTTGTCTTCACACTAATCAACATTATTCAGTGTGGTTATCATGGGTACAGGTAATTATCTGCCTATTAATGACCAAACCAGGTAAATAAACTCTCCATAAATCAGGTTTTCCTTCATGTCTTGCTGTCAAATTGTGTCTGTGCCAGTTGACTTAAATTGAGGTCCCAACTCAGTATTGCAAGCAATCAGTTTACAGAGAATGTAGAAATGTGTTTTGTCAAAAGAGTAACAGTATTTCACTACACATTTTAGTGAGATATTCACATACTCAAAGTTCCCTATTTCATAATGAGTAATTTTAAGACTCTCATGCTTCGTAAAACACCATTGAGACCAACTTTGATAAATATTAAATTTGTAGTTATAATTCTCAATCCACACTCCACATGCTAATATATCAATGCTAACTTCTGCCAATACACAAACAGACACGATATTCAGTGTGAAAGAAAATAACATTAAATATTTCTTAACAGTCAGACATAAATAAATAAATAAATAAATAAATAAAAGTATTGGCTGTACTGCATCATACTATACTCTAATTTTGAGATTTCTAACCAAGGGAGGTAAGTCAGAACTAATATTTTATCATCAAGAGAGGCTGTTCTTTTTTAAAAAGATTTTTTCAACAATCTAAAAAAAATCCAAGCCATTCTCCTGTTTAATTCTGATGAGATTGCTGTCTAAGAAAATTATAACAATTTTATCTTAACGTATGACTGATTTTTTATATTCTTGTAACTTTGTAGATCACAGGTCGCAGGACAAAGTGTACATAGGTTTACACCTACCAAAACAACATCGACATAGACACAAACATCGTCGCCACCATAAACGTGAAGGCTCCAATACGGAAAAATCCCATAACACATCAGCGCCATCTGATGGTAGGTACTTGTAGTATTATATAACAGATGTTGTATATAGTTCTCCAGCAGTGATATTAGGTCTGATGGACCTATATCTGGATTTATTGTCCAATATTCATTATTGTCAGTTTGTCAGGGACATGTCTTGTATAATTTGTCAACTGACCTTGTCTTAATATCTAAGTGATTTCTTGGATACAATCATATATGTCCGATGTTTACATATAACATTTGATTCTTCATTAATTTTTTTTTCGTGGCAATATTTTGGTTGGTGATGGAGGGCTATGATGAAATATAATGTACATTATCAATAATAGCACTCTGCTTTGTTATGTATATATAACCTGTTGTCTGATACAAAAAAATGGGGAGTTGAAGATGTATTGTCTAGTTTGTTTAATGACGTACTGGTGTACATCTTAAGATATGTTACCCAAACACTAAGTTGAAGATATAGGTGTATTGTAATTACTCTCATGCTTCAAGGGTTTATAATTGGTGTAAATAGTCATGCAAGTACATAGATTAATCCTTGTACAATCATAAAGTTGTTCTTAATTGCTATGTAATCTGTGTTACGTAGAAATGTTTTGAATTTGTGGTTTACACGGTTGAGATTATACATTTAAAATTAAAAAAAAAAAATAAAAATTTTGACAAAATTAAAATGAAAATATTTAACATTCCGGATAAGAACTCATATTTTACAAATATATTGCTGTAGCCAGGAAGTTTCGAGCCAAAGTTTTATATGGGTTTTAAATTTTGAAAAGTATGAATGTATTTTTACAGGTTTATTTTTTTATATAAATGTTTTGATCTGTATCTGTTTATGGGAATATATGTTTTATAATATAATGTATTCATGACAAAGTGTACTATGAAGAGATCCAAGGATCCAGATGATTTATATACATTATATATTTAAACGATAGTCAAACTCAAAAAGATTTTACAAAGAAAAAGGTCTAGTTAACGTGATTTTCCATCTTTGCCAACCTTCTCTGTTCATAAGACTTCTAAATTGTCTATAATTTCAAAAATTAGATAATTCCTCCAGAAAAGGCAGTTAACACATATTGCTTTTAAGTACCTGTCATTAGGAAGTGCATCAACTGCACATTATGTAAAGGCTTGGATATTTAAATATAATATAAACTTTATTTATTTTACAACAATTGTAAATCATGCTGTCAGCTTATATTCATTACTGTGGTTGGTCTTGATGGAAGTATGAAGGGGCTTGGATATTTTGAATGATCATGTAAATTCCATTTAGTTGGCAAGTATATGCCAATATAAAGATTTCACTATAAAAAGATAAAAATATTATTGAGCAGTAAAGATATTGCCATAAGGAAATTATCTGATATAATGTTAACCTGAGATTTTACCTTTAACTAGTGTAGATCCATTTTAAACTTTTGACCAGTATCAGACATGTCTAGGTCAAGAATTGTATGTTATCAGTAAGTCCTATTGACATGGTGACATGAAACTTGATTTAAAATGTCATTCTAAAAATAAATAACCACTCCTTCCTTAAGTAATTTCTCATTCATGTTTCGTGTAATGGGATAAACATCCTGTGTGATATCGAGAGTAAGATTTGGGAACAATATCATGTGATATTGAGAGTGAGATTTGGGAGCAATATCCTTTGTGATATTGAGAGTAAGATTTGAAATTTTTCTTTGTGGAGATTAACATATATTTAATGTTAATAAGTTTAGAATATTTTACTGCTGATCAAAATTATAGAATGTTTCTATCATTCTATAGATGTTCAGTTACATTGATTTCTACATAGAGTATCATTAATCAATGTTACTGACTAATCTAAAAAAAAAACCATAAGTTCAAATTAAAGGGGTAGGTGCTTGGAAAAGAAAGAATGTGATCACTTGTTAGTATAGTATTTATGGTTCTAAAGAAGGCTTTTTGTAATCGGAGTAATTCCAATAGACATGTATGTTATATGTCACGATGCAATGACAATTTTTTTAAGTAGAGAGTTTTTCTATAAAATAAAACTGTTTTTTCTAAATTTAACAGAAGAGTTTGATGAGAAATTACATGCTGTATATCGGAATATTTTGCCCCAATTTAAGTTCTTTGCATGTATCATTATACAAAAATTGGCCTCATGTCCATTTCACTTTCTGAGGATTATGTTAAAGAGTCATAAATATAAGTACAACAAATTTTTGCCCCATCTTAAATTCACCTTCATGTTCATGGGAAAAAAAAGAGCAAAAATGTAATGTGGATGAATTATTAGGATGTGACACCTTCTGTCACCAGATACCCTGTTGATGCCCTATGCGGCTAATACCCGCAGAGCTAGCCAAGTGAGCCAGGTTTGGCAGTTTAGTGTTTATGGTGACCTTGACGGTAGGTTGGTACAGATGTGAACCAAAAATCCTTGTTACAAATTTTCCTGTGACCATTTACTTTACAGCAACAACAAGATTTGAAGATCTCCCTATCCCTAAACCATTTTTGACGCCATTTTTGTTTGCATTTTTACGTTCAGGTAATTTCTTGTTGCCGCCTGGCAGGGATTTTCGGCGTGGTAGTCAGATCAGCCAGTTCAGCCAATATGGCGATCTGGATGGTATGTGTTGTCATGTATGGCTTTGGCCTGTCCCTACTTCCTGTCTTGTGTGTGGTACTGTCCTTATTTCCGAGGTTGATCAAGGAATGGTTCTGTGGAGTGAGAGTTTCTTGATGCAGGCGTCCTGCCTCATCTACTTTCCTTTATTCTTTCAGTAGCAGATCAAAACGCACAATTGTTTTACCAGGTTTAAAAAAAAATTTTAATTAATTAGACTATTTAAATTTTTAAAATAATTTTTTTTTAACAGAAAATAGCAAAATCTTATATAAGATATGCTGTGAAGTAAAAGGCTTCTGGTTTCTAAATATGATTTTTCAATTTAACAGATTTTTTTTAAACATGTTTTTAATGAAGTTGACACCAGCTGTGTAAGTGAATTTGTTCTGCAGGCTCCGTTTCTTGTTGGACTTACTAAATAATAATAATATCATATCAGACTTCCTTCCAAACTTCTAACAAGTTAGAATATTCAATTTATCTTATTTATCTGTACTTTGAACAAAGAGTAACAATAATTATTTCATTTTATTTTTCTCTGCTTTGAGCAAAGTCTTATCTAAAACAATTTTTTTTATTTATTTCCTTGCAAATAATTATATCGAACATAGTGATGTCCTCCAGGTTAAAAAAAAAAGCAACAAAATTATTCTGAATTATATGGATGATAATTTGTAAGAAAGAAAATTGTGTCAAAGATGAGATTGAAATTTCCTCCGATTGGTAGTTTATAACAAAACAATGTTAGCCTTGAGAAAAGTTCGTTTATTGTGATCACGAATGAATGTAAAATTGATAAATATTGATCGGGAGATAATATTCATAATAGTTTTATATCTAGACTTTCTTACAGCTACTTCTTGATTTATTAAACACAACACAATTAAACTAATATCTAAACCTTTCATGATTAACACAATCAAACTTTATTTTTTATTTTATTAAGTTTCATTATTTTGTGATATCTTGGAGAAAGAAAATCCATGGTGTGTGATATTGTACATATATCTTTGTACAGACAGAATTACTTTTCAGTTTCAGGTGATGTTTCATCACTTTGTTCCGGGATTTCTTATTTTAAAAAAGAAAAAAAATCACAAATTACATGTATCATGAATATTCATGATGACTCCAAATCAAGGGACATAACTGATGGTTAATTTCTTATTTTTTTGTGATAAAAATATAAATAATTTGGTAAAAAAAATATGTACATGTGATTAAAAAAATTTTTTTTACAGGAATAATTCACTGTAGAGCCAGCAGAAAGGATTCTTATAGGATCAGATTTAATATTTTCATCATTAATTTTTTTTCAGGAAGTCAAGTGTACTATTGATACCCTGCAGTATTATGGATCGTTTGATTGTGTGTAAAGATTGTACTCTTCTTTAGTTATTCATGATTTTTACCTGTTTTTATTGCCCTCAACAGAAGGTATTATGACCTTCATGGGTAACGCAGTTATTGGCATAAGTCAAGACCTGTCTTTAAAAATGTATGTCTGTACCATTCTGTCTTACAATACTGACAGTCTTGTCTGTATCAGATACCATTGTGTCATATCATGCTTATAATCATTATAAAGTGTCTTGTTTGTATAAGATACTATTCTGTCTTATGGTACTTACTACCATTCTGTCATATCATTCTATAATATTTTATACTGAAAGGCTATCTACCTGTGTGTCTTTTGTACAATTTTCAAGATTGCAGGTGGAACACACTACTGGTGGACATTTAGTCCACAAGTCAGACAAGACTTTCTAAAATTGTCTATTATATAAGAAAATTATGAAGTATATGAAATTATGGGGCTAGTGCACCTCCCCATTTATATTTTAACTTTTCCTTTGATTACTTTGGATTTTCACCAGTCACCTCCTAGGCTTCAAAATTTAGGCCCTTACCATCACCGACAAGTCCTAGAAGGATGAAATAGCCGTGTGCTGTAAATAGCATCACCGACAAGTCCTAAAAGGACGAAATAGCTGTGTGATGTAAATAGCATCACTGACAAGTCCTAGAAGGATGAAATAGCTGTGTGATGTACATAGCATCACTGACAAGTCCTAGAAGGATGAAATAGCTGTGTGATGTACATAGCATCACCAACAAGTGAAATAGCTGTGTGATGTACATAGCATCACTGACTTTTCTTTGATAATTAATGGTTCTGATTCACCAAAAATCTTTTTGTAAAAATTATTCATTTTTGGTGGGTAATTTATTTTTGTTTAATTCATGGGTACTATATTTCAATCCATGATAAATGTTTACATGGATTATAGTACTAGTTGATTGTGTAACAGTGCTCCAGATAACTTTTTGACATGTGGGGTTTTCACTCCTACCTTTATAAATTGAGGGTTTTTTTCACCCCTGCCTTCATCAAGTGTATGGGTTTTTCCATATGTGTGGTAACACTGAATTTGTAAACATTTTTGACAGCGCCATATTTGCTGTGTGACTGGTTTATAATCACGTTCAAGAAAGCGTTGTTACGAGTTTCGTTTACTTGATAAGTGTCTGTTTGACTTAGATTATTGAGTTTTCTAACTACGTAATATCTTTTTGTAAAAATTATTTCGCATTTTTAATGGGTAAATCTTATTTTTTTCCTAGCGTGAAATTAGAAATATTGTGCGTGAAAACGCATTCACGCAGGCTATCTGGAGCACTGGTGTAAGCAAGATTATTCCACGAAATCAAGAGCCAAACAACCATGAAATGTATATAATTATACAAACAGTATTTGAAATGATAAGTTATAACCTATGGAAATATAAGATTGAAGTAAGTATAAATATTATATCTTAATGGCTACTTTAACTCTTCTTTTGAAAATGATTTTTGTAAAATCAAAAAAACAAAAAAACTTAAACCAAAAATGTTACACATTCATATATGCTGAAAGCTGAAGACAACCCTCAGTGCATAGTATGTGATGAGCCATTCACTGTTAAACTTGGACTGCATTGACCTTCTGTCTACTCGAGAAAAATTTTATCGTAATGTTACAGGTCTAGAGACCCATTTTGAAACTGTTCAGATTCAGCTGTGTGTTTTACCGGTTGATGGCCCTAATGACATTTTATGCGTTGACAGGTCGTTAAGAATGTAATAATGTTTACCTCAGTCACAGACAATTAGACTGAATCACAACTAAACTAGAGTGAGGCTCTCAGAAAAGCCTTATTTGACAAATCCGAAGTGACCATTGTTCATACTCTAAAACAATATTTGTCCAAGCAGGTTTTTGATTATCTGTTACCTATTTGTCATTTGCTGCAGATATGTTGCAGCTGATGAATGTAAATTCGTTAAAAACAAGGAGCTAATTATCCTACTGTGTATTAGTGCTGATTCTCAGGGCTAATTCCTCTCACAAGTCCAGTTGTCTTAGCAATGTGCCCTGTTCTGTAGCATTAGGATAATATCCAAGGCTGCTGTGACAGGTGACCTACATGATTAAAGCTTGTCAATAGCAGTGATTGAGGTCGATCAATATATATGTTGCTGGTAATATGGTGAATGCTGATGGTTTTCTATTTTACCCGAGACACTTATTATCATACCAGGTTATAAGAAGAACTGGTATATAAGCCGCAGAGTTTTTTTTTTTTCGATTTTATTCACATATAAGCCGCACCCTTGCTTATGAAGTGGTAACCATTACGTTGACCAAAGTTTGTTGATGTGATGGACAACGAAGTTTGCAAATGAATTATACACAGATAATCCGTTATCTTATTGATGTATTTCAAAAAACGTAAAATAGCAAATATCAAACTTATTTGGTTTGGGTGTCTTTATAGATTGTTTATGCACAGATATAGGGCCTAATGTTATGTGCAGTTTACTAAGCAATCTCTCCATCTTCTGTATTGTAAAATATTAATAAAGGTGCTCGCATGCTGACCATATTCTTATAGTCCCATAATCTTTCTTCTTGTAAGCTACATGAAGCCATTCATATTGTAAACAAGCAAAGCATTCATTCTACAACTGACCTTTAACCTGTTGACCTGTCAATCCCAGGCAGCAAAAGGCTATTGTAGACTTCCGCTATGGCTCCGAAGTGACTTGGAAAGTCCAAAAAAGATATTGCGATTCATATTAAAAACTATGATTAATTAAATCCATGAGAATGTTTATTTTATTTCAATCTTTAAGTCATCCTGTATACAATTGCAAATGACGGTTCTAGATGATCTCTTTCAGTCTCAAACACTTATGGGCAGGTACTCAGTGCCGTCCCGTACTGGTGAACCAGGACACTTTCTGTTATTTTGTGTTTTTTTTTCATAATCTGGAAAAATCCGGAAAATATGGTGATCTGAGAGTTCAGGCATCCAGCACTAGACCCTTAAGAGTATATGTTTTTGACTTTCAAATATATGTTTGATTCTTGTTTTTAAAGAAACATGATTTATATTTCACATATATTTTAAGCCTTCAGATTCTTCTGAAATTTGGAAATGTCAAACATCAACTGGATACCCAGTTAAAAGCATGTTACATATCTGTATTTGATTTGGCAATAGAACACCATGAAGCCACGACCTGGAACTTGGTACCATCAGGATGTGGCTATCTCTAGATCAGCCAGTATTTTGACAGTACAATTGTTTAATGAGATGAAAATAGTGCAATGGGGGAAAAAGGGAGAACTTTTTATCTTCAGAATTGTTAAGAGTATTGAATGATTTTTCTTTGTCAGTCATTGAGGAGGAAACAGATGTATCTAAGACAGGTAATCTATGGAAGTAACTTT